TGGCTTGACATGAGTATTTTTTTTCCAGCAATTTTTAAGTGGTGCCCTGTTACTGTCTATCTTATTTAATGTTTGTTTGGATGTCACCAACTAACCTTTTTTTGTTTGTTTATTTGGCCTCTGTATTCTCTAAAATCTGTCACAGTAACTTTGGTTTTGACACAATGGTTGACTTCTTATTTATACTGTGCTTAGGAAATGTTGAATTAATTTCACCTGTGTATTGATGTCTTTCATCAGTTTGGAAAATGCTTGTGCATCTGCATTCCTGACATCAGCTCTCCTCCTCGTTCTGTCTGTTCCCTTCTTAATTACACCCCACTTCTATTTTAACTCAGCCCTGAGCTTTCCAACTTTGTTCACCCTGTGGTTTTGTTGGGAGATTTGTTCTCCACCCATCTTGCAGCTAAGTAATCCAGGCTTTTGCTGGAATCAATCCCTTCTTAGTAACTTAAAATCTTACTTTCAGTGTGAACATACACATAATACATAGCTTACATTTTTAAAAAGATAGCAGGGCCGTTTCACAAAATGAGAAGATATTGTTATTTTGCTACAATGAAACTCAAATAAGTAGGAGAAAATTATAACTTGGACCATATTAAGATCTATGAAGAGCCACTATTCATCAAAATGTACAATAAGGCAGGAGTGGATAAACCAGAGGGGGAGGAGAGATTTGCATTACCTACATCCGGGAAAGTACATCAAGCCAGATTATGTAAATACTTCTGTCAAATGATGCAAAGTACTGAAAACTTGCTAAAAACGGGTCAGACTGGAGAACAGGCACTCCCTAAAAGAGGATAAACAAATACTCAACTGAAATGTAAAAAAAATATTGAACCTCTTTAGATTCAGGGAAACCCTAATGAAAGTCATAGAGAGAGACTCTAATACAGACATCAGTTTAGCTGAAATGAAGAATGTGGTCGTGCCACACGCTACCAAGGCTATGGGGCAACCGGATCACCCAGGCAGGGCTCCTCAGAGTTCACACAAGTAGAACCACTTTGGAAAATGGGAAGCAGCTACTAAAACTGTATACACGTTCCCTGTACTCAGACATCCCCAACAATGTGTGTGTGTGTGTGTGTGTGTGTGTGTGTGTGTGTGTGTGTGTGTGTGTCCACAGCAGATGTGCTGGTTCGGCCCCAACAAATGGCCTTGAAATAACTCCTTATTAATCAGAGCTTGTCAACAGGGGGATGGAAATACCCTGGGGATTCTTCCCCCAACGGAAGTCCACCCAGCAAGAGGAATTCCCTTACTGAGAGTAAGGATGGATCTCACAGATCTAATGTTGAGCCACACACACACATGTGGAAATGGCCCCAGGATGGCAAGCTCGCAATGGTGATTCAAGGCTGCTCCCCAAACCACCCCAGGAAAGTCCCCCACAACCTTGCAAAGCAATGGTGGGATATTGACATTCAATATCCAGGCCTCAAGGGACGTGCAGGAGTTGCTATTCCAGATAGTTGTCAGAGTGATAGCCACATGCAGATGGCCGGGCACAGTTTTGCTTGGAAGGCTGAAACAGCTAGCAGCCTCCTCACCATTTGGGTCTCCCTTAGAGGCTGAGGACTCAGAGCTTTTCTCCCCCAGCCCCCGAGGGACCCTCAGCCAACCACCTCCAGGGGTCCAGCACCCCACTTCCTGATCACCCTCCTCCTCATACGTCTCTGCAGGGCCACTGTACCCAAGGGCTGCTGCCCGCTGCCCAAGCCCAGTCTGAGGATACACCCTCAGGAAGAAGAAAAGGACATAATTTATCTTTTTCACTGTCCTCAATGGACTCCACTTTGAAATGATGACATTTAGATGTCTCAGGTTAAATACAAATGTTATAAAAACCAATTCATCCATTTGTGTCTACTTACTTTTAGATGTGTTCTAGAACACTGTAAATTACATAGAACACATCATTGTGTTTCTATCGATCTTGGCTCAGTAAAACTGTGGTGTGATGGTTAATTTTATGAGTCCGTTAATCAGGGCTCAGGGACCCTGCAGAGCCGGTTAAGCATTATTTTCGGGTGTGTCCATGAGGGTATTTCTAGGAGAGATTAGCATTCGATTCTGTAGAGTAGGGAAAGAGATCCGCCCTCAGCAGTGTGGACGGGAATCATCCAATCTTTTGAGAGCCTGAATGGAACAAAAAAGCAAAAGTAAGGTGAATTGCTGTCCTCCTGAGCTGGGAGGTGCATCTTTTCCTTCCCTTGAGCATCAGAGCTCCTTTGGACTTGGACTGAATTACACCACCAGCTTTGCTGGTTCATCAGTTTGCAGACAGCAAATTGTGGGTCTTCTCAGCCCCTATAACGGTGTGGGCCAATTCCCTTTTTCTTTTCTTTTTTTCTTTGCATAGAAACCTTTGTATATATCTCTGCCCATTGGTAAGGACACAATTCCTAGAATGTGAGTAATTAACAGATAAAAAGGAATGACTTTTCAAGCAGTATGGAGGTTCCTCAATAAACTAAAAACAGAAATACCATCTGACCCAGGAATTCCACTCCTAGGAAGTTACCCTAAGAATGCAGCAGCCCGGTTTGAAAAAGACGATGCACCCCTATGTTTATTGCAGCACTACTTACAATAGCCAAGAAATGGAAGCAACCTAAGTGTCCCTCAGTAGATGAATGGATAGAGAAGACGTGGTACATATACACAATGGAATATTATTCAGCCATAAGAAGCAAACAGATCCTACCATTCACAACAACATGGATGGAGCTGGAGGGTATTATGCTCAGTGAAATAAGCCAGGGGGGAGAGAGACAAGCACCAAATGATTTCACTCATCTGTGGAGCATAAGAACAAAACAAAAACTGAAGGAACAAAACAGCAGCA